TGCTTCAGCATGTGTGTGTGTGCACTGGGGCATGATACAGAGCAAAACATCTTGCTGAGACACTAGGTTGTACTGCTTGAAATGTCTGGACACCTTGTACTATGGGTTCAATTGTATGAACCCAAACACACGTGGAAGTCCTAAGACCTAGGTACCCATGAACGTGAACATAGACTTATTTGGAAATAGAGTCTTCGATGACCTCACAGAGGTGGACTTACATTTAAATATGTAAATGTTGTGTTTGTTTACATGTGGCTTATTTTGGAAGAAACACTAGCTAAATGTGTCAGATTAAAGCAGCTGAACCAAACCATACATAGAAACACAAAAATATATGCCTCCAGCATCTACCAGCTACCTCAGGTTGTCCTGTGTTATGAGCCACACTCATCCATGTGTATGGTGCAACTTTCCCACTCATTCAGAAAACTTTCCTTCCATGGCTTCATACTAACTCACAAGCTCCAACCCTTCCTCAATCAAATTCCTGGTGCTTGGTAAGGTAAAGTATGATATTTATTGCAATGCGTATGCCTTTCTTAACCATTCAATATATGTAACACTTTGCTACTTCCTTTATTAGAGTCCTATCTCGCCTTTTTTAAATGTGTCACTGTCATCAAGTGTTAAGCCCCAATCACACTTTTTTTTTTTTTTTTTTTTGGTGTGAGCCCTGTGGTTGTTATTGAGTGATGTGGCTATTAGTTGTGTGTAATTTTCATGGCACAGCAATGTTCAAGTTTACTGTATTGTGTGATAGCAAAACAGCCTGTGTGATGCTTAAATCCAAGACACTGGATGGAGTCACACAGTGGGTGAGTGGTGGAGAGAGACCAGCCCACGGTTGAGTCCAGGGACCCTCCGCTTCAGCAGATTGAGAAGAGGAGCCAGCCACAGAGTTGTCTGGTAAGGTGGTGTTCTAGAGGCCAAGTGCGATGTTTCCAGGAAGGCCTATTGTGCCATATCCAGGGTCGCAGAGAGATCAAGAAAGCAGAGGATTCACAGAGAGGTGACCTCTGATGCTTGTTGTGTGAATGCCTTGAGTGATTTTGATTAATGTGGGAGTTTGGGTGGTGTAGTAGGTCTAAGCCTAATCGGAGAAGACTTATGAGAAAATAGAAAAGAAGAACACATTTTCAAAATCATCATGGAATAAATTTTATTTTAATGTGACTCTTTTTCAAGTAAGTTCTGCCATTCATAAGCATATTTATGTCCTGTGTGGTACCCTATGGATCAGGATCTATTTACAATTTGTAAAGATTGCTCTGAGTTCCTATTGTATGCCTGACAGCATGGGTCTAAGGGTGCAGATGCTGGAATGAGACAGACTTAGTTGAGGGTTCTGATTCTGCCACTTACCTGTTGTTTGCAATGAGCCTCCCTGGCCACATTTCCAGAGTGGGGTTTATATCCTGAATCAATGCAGCGCTGTCAGAGTCAGATATGCAAAGTGCTCAGCACGGGGTCTGATTCAAAAGACGGGCTCACGAATGTTATTATTAATATTCTTTCAATGATGTATAGTGGTGTCTGGCCTGGAACTTACACAGAAGTCGAGGAGACAAAACAGGAAACATTAAGAAAATAAAGGATGATGCACAACTAGTGTCCTGGAGTCAGTGTGACTGGGTGAAAGGAGACTTAAAGTAGAGCATTCAGAAGAAATAGCTCTGAGAAGGAACTCAGTTTTACTACACACCTGCTACTCTTCATGGTGCCACAATCACAATCACTTTATTATTTGAGAGAGAGAGAGAGAGAGAGAGAGAGAGAGAGAGAGAGAATGCATTAGTTTTGTTTACTCTCCAAATGCCTGGGAAGCTCAATGCAGGTCTCCTATGTAGGTGGCAGAAACTCAACAACTAGGCCATTGTGGCTGCTTCTCAGAGTCTACATTAGCAGGAAGCTGGACCAAGGACTTGAATCCAGGCTTTCCAGTATGGGATACAGGTGCTTTAACTCTAGGCCAGAAGTCCACCCCAGTTATTTGTTTAATCCTCACAAACAATTACAATGAGACATTATTAACCCCAACTTAAGGAGGAGAAGACTGAGGCTATGAGAGACTTGCTATCTTGCTTCAGGTCACCAGCTAGCGGGATAGCCAAGTCAGCCCATCTGTACTTGTCTCAGAGTGCACGTTCGGTGGTGGTGGGCCAGAGCAACAGGGAGGTTCAACTCTCCACACTGCCATATGGAGAGGATGATAAGAAACAAACTAATAAAAAAAACCATGTTATACCAGCCTTTTTGTAGCCCAATTCCTATGTCACTTAAAGAACTAAATTTAAGCAACAAACCCAAGAAAAGCAAATTGTGTGTTCTTACCTTGACTTTTTTTTTTTTTTTTGACAGGCAGAGTGGACAGTGAGAGAGAGAGACAGAGAGAAAGGTCTTCCTTTTTTCCATTGATTCACCCCGCAATGGCCTCTGCGGCCAGCGCACTGCGGCCGGCACACTATGCTGATCCGAAACCAGGAGCCAGATGCTTCTCCTGGTCTCCCATGCGGGTGCAGGGCCCAAGGACTTGGGCCATCCTCCACTGCACTCCCGGGCCACAGCAGAGAACTGGCCTGGAAGAGGAGCTACCGGGACAGAATCCAGCGCCCCAACCGGGACTAGAACCCAGGGTGCTGGCACCACAGGCAGAGGATTAGCCTATTGAGCCACAGCGCTGGCCTCCCCTTGATTTTATATCTCCAAGTAGAATGAATTCTGTACCCAAAGGGAGTTCAGGGGCAGGTCAGGGAGAAGCACAGGTTGGGAAGCATCAGCAAGCACCCATCAAGAGATGGTTGAACTTGTGGGGCAAGGGTTGTAATCCCCGTGGAGTCTGGTCCCCCACCTGGTAGATTCAAGGGTTGATTTCTCAGTGGACGGCACCACCGCAGTCCTGGTTCCTATGTATCTCCTGTTGGGGTTGCTAACAGATGGGCAGGCCTTTCAGTTTCCAGGAAGTCTGTGCTCTGGGTGAGCCTCTAACTCAAGCTAGTCACGCAGGTGCAGCTGCTATTCTGCAGGGTCAGGGCTGCAGAGTGCCCAATCATTCTGCACTAATCAGCCATTAAAGATCCTCGAAGTGCTTTCTTTAGTAGATAGAGATTTCAACTGGAAGAGCTGCGCTGTGTCACTAGGCATCCTGTTAATTAAAGCATTACCCAAGGCATTCAATCTATTCACCTGCTCTCAGCTGGTAAAGGCAGTGACATTGTAGGATGAATCCAGAGCAGGCAATTGCTGATGGATCGAGAGACAAGAAACATGACTCTTTCTAAGGTGTCTGCGGGTCCTTGAAAGAGGGTCTTGATGGAGAGGTGTGTTAGTTTCCTAGGGTTTTCTGGCTTAGAGCAACAGAAATGTATTCTCTTGCAGTTCTTATTTTCAGAAGTCTGAATTAGGGATTGGTTCCTGCCAGGTGTTTTGAGAGAGAACCTGGTCCACACCTTCTTCTTGGCTTCTGATGGCTGCCAGGGATCTCTGGGTGGCCTCGGCTTACCAGGTCATCTCTCCAGTCTTTGCCTCTGTCTTCATGGGTTGTTTTCCTCATGTCTGTGTCTCTTCTTCTTATGAGGACTCTGGTGATATTCCTTTAGAATCTCACCCTATTCCAGTACGCCTTCATCTTAACTAGTTGCATCCACAATAGTGCTACTTCCAAACAAGGTCCCATTCTGAGGTGCTGGGAAGGACCTTCCAACCAGCACAGGACAGGAACATAAAACCTTTGGGTGTTTTTGTTGGAGAGTAAGGATAATGACAGCGAAAGGAAGGGTCTTTAAAAAGCTGTTAAAAGGACAAGGAATGCTGATAGAGCAGGTGGCATTAGGCTGGGAAACACGTCCCATTGAATGGGGAAACTGAGAAGAGTTGTAAGAAAGAACTATTTACAGGGTTAACAAAAAGCAAATATGGGAATGCCAGTGCCAGAGTCACAATGGATGGGCTCTGTGATCACAAATCTATTGGCCTTCTCAGAACTACATCTCCTAGCCCTGCCCCTGGCCTGCTCCATCAAGACCTGCCTGGGCCTTCCATGATGCTGTATTCTAGGCTGCCTGGGGAACCCTGACCAGCTTTCGGGCGCAGCTGGAAATGTGCAGGCTTGCTGGAGGGTGCACAGCACCCAGCTGACATGTGTACCCCATGCTTCTTCCCCAACACGCAGTTTCGAGGTGCATTTCCAATGATTCCTCAGGAGAGTCTCAGCACCTGTTGACAGTGGCAGTGGTCACTCAAAAACTCATCCTTGGTTTTGCCTTTTAACCTCCTCATTCACGCTTCTGGCCCAGGGCACATAAGCCTTGGTCTCAAGCTCTTCCTGGGCAGAATGTGCAAGAAGACTGAAGCATTACTGGGCAAAAGGGGAGACAGGCCAGGAGAGAGTAAGAGTAAGCTGAGGATGAAAACAAACTCTAGGGTCCCAAGGAACAAAGCAGTCCCTGTCCACTGTCAGGCCAGCAGACAGCAGGGAGGGGAAACGCACAGCCCAACCCGATCTCTTTCCATTGGCAGTCGCTTGCTGGACCCTCTATTGCTGAATCAAGTCCCAGAGGGTGTGGAAGGGTTGGCTTCCATGCTGCTCCAGGAAGTCGCCTCCCAGGGCCCGGAGCAGGTGGGAAGGAAGGAGAGCCCAGCTGGAAGGAAATGGAATTTCCAGCACGACTCCAGGGAATCACTCAGCAGTTTTCTCTCCTGCTGCCTGGGAACCTCACACCATGGACACCACATTGACAGGACGGGCAAAGCAGCTCCCAGGTCAGGGAGTGCTCTCTGGCTGGTCCCAAGGCTTCTCACATGAAAATACTGCAGACAGTGCACAGAAAAAGGAAACTGAAAGGTATTTTTGAAATGTCTCCATAGTTATCTCATAATTTGAATTTTCCAGGAAAATTTTAGGATTTCTTTTTTTGCCACAAAATGAACATATCTTTTAACTTAAAGATTTATTTATTTGAAAGGCAATGTGACAGAGAAGAGAGAGAGAGAGAGAGAGATCTTCCATCTGCTGGTTTTCTCTCCAAATGTAGCAATGGTTAGGGCTAATCCAGGCCCAAACCAGGATCCAGGAACTCAACTGAGGTCTCCCACAGGGTGGCAAGTGCTGAAACACTTGGGCCATCTTCCGCTGCCTTCCTGGGTGCACTGGTAGGGAGCTGGGTGGGAAGCTGAGCAGCAGTACTTGAATGGGTGCAACCTGATTTGGGGTACTGGCACCACAAGCAGCTTCTTAACCTGCTGCTCACAAGGCCAGCCACATACTTTTCTCTGAATCCCAGATTGCAATGAACTTTTTGAAGTACCCTAGTATTTGTGTACCACCATTGAGCACAATGGTCATAACAGGCTGGCCATCATCTGGACCAAGCAGCCTCCTGGGTTAGGAGGAATGTGTCCTTGAATTCAGAGCTTCCCTGGCTCAGATCCCGGCTCTGCCACTAACAGATAGGTGCCCTTCAGCAAGCTTCCTCTCTGAGACTCAGTTCCCCATAAGCAAAATGGGATTACAATCTCAGTCTTACATCACAACATTTTTGTGAGCATTCAGTGAAATAAGATGCTGTATATGGTAGCTTTGTTTTAAAATTGATTCTCATTTGCCTAAGTTATCTACTTATGTCTATAGTTATCAACGGGTATTTTTTTTAACTTTTATTTAATAAATATAAATTTCCAAAGTATAGTTTATGGATTACAGTGGCTCTTTCCCCCCATAACTTCCCTCCTACCCGCAACCCTCCCATCTCCCGCTCCCTCTCCCATTCCATTCATATCAAGATTCATTTTCAATTATTTTTATATACAGAAGATCAATTTAGTATATATTAAGTAAAGATTTCAACAGTTTGCACCCACACAGAAACGCAAAGTGTAAAGTACTGTTTGAGTTCTAGTTATAGCATCAATGGGTATTATTAATAAATTATACAGAATTGATGTAACAGTTACAGAAATCTAAAAGTTCCTCGAAACATGAAAGAACTTTCCCTTAAAGTTATGGTTGAATAATTGCAATATTTTATCATCTTTCTGTCTTCTTGCTATGGACTACACAAAATATCCTAGAGTAATAGTAAGTGACAAGTGAGCCAGGTGTTCTCCTGTTGCTTCCAGATGTCAATGGTCTTTAAACCAGCATTGTGGGAGACGAAGCCTTTTACACTTGGACTTTATGCTGATAGTGATGAATCACCACGGGAAAGGCCCACATTGCTTCTGCTGGAGGCTCTTACAGAACTCCTGAGTCAGCTGAGCTGCACACAGTCAGTAACAAAGCGATCTCTGCCAGGAATTCTAGTGCAACAGGGCTTTTCACAGCAGGGCTTGCCCTCAGCTGTGTGACGATGTCTTATGAGACTCTACCACCCGCATCTGTGATGGGAACGCGTGGGGTGCCTGAGGCACAAGGCATCTCCCTGCATTCCAAAACTTGAAACTCTGTGAAACAGAATATCTTTAGTTCTTTTCTCACCCTCTGGGAGAAATCCATGCAAGGCTTTTAGGTCCATGATGTCATGTGAAGGAAACGCCTTTCTCTGACCTTGAAAATCATTTTCCCTTAAGTTTCTTTCTCTTTCCCCAATAAGGTGTTTTTTAAAATGTGAGCAAAAATAATAATAAAGAGGATTTAAGGAAAAGGAAAACATGATTTAAGTTTATGATCATGGCCTTATTTCCTAAAAAAGGAAAATAATGAAGTTGATGCAAATTGGCTAATCAAAAAAAAAAAATCCAGAAGTATTATCAAGATGACAATGCCTATGCTTCCTATATGCATGATGTAGCTATTAAACCCTATACTCAATGTGCTGAATATTGTGTGATTGTTGCTGTTTATAAAAATGATTACCAGTTGATAGAAAGAGCCAACCAGGCTCTATGGAAAACATCACAAGGACAGAAATGTGTGCTTGGTAAAAAAGGTTTAGAAGGAAAGAGTGTTGTTGGTAAGAAGGGTTAAAAAGGAAAGAGCTTTTTAAATAAGGAAAGGACATGGTTTGTAAGAATCCTGATGGCTAGTTTAGGGTGTGTGGAAGTCACAAAAGGTTACAAAAGAAAGAAATATTGGACATGCTAACTGCTGCTCCAGGGGTATCTGTGCCATGTTCCAGGAAGAATGATGTCTCTTGGTCAATCAGACTAGACAGGTAGAAATCCAAATTCATACTTTTCCTGGACAAAGCCAAACAGCTCCAGGACCAGCCAAGCAGGGTTGGGATTTCTGGCCTGACATCTGGTCATGGAAATCCTGGCTATTTCCTCTCCTTGGCCCAATAACTTCTGTAATCTTGATGCTTCTCTTTGCACCGAGTGTTTTTAATGCCCTTGTTCATTTTGTCTCTAGCAGACTAAAAGCTGTCGAACTCCAAATTGTCGTCAGACAAGGCTTCCAGCCCATTCCATTGGAAGACCTGAGCAGCCCTCTGGACCGAACAGCACAGTCTTTCCAAGGCCACTGTTGCACACCATAAGACAGATAGCAAGAGGAAATACCCAAATCCCCCTCGACGCCCAAATGCAAGCTTTGAAGAAATTACAGAAAACGGAACTCCATCCATAATCCCAAAGAAGAATTTTGGGTATTACCTCTTGAGGGGGGAATGTTAGGTAGGAAGTTAGGTATGAGCTTATGTGTGTGTAACAGGCCTAAAGGGAAGACTATGTCCAGCATATGCTGCATCTCAAAGTCATCCTGATGGTGTTTCAGGGGTAGCCCAGTATTCACATCCTGCCCTGCCCTGACCCCTTCTACCTGATATCTCCCAGGTGCAGCGCAGTATCTGTATCTCAAACGCCCTGCTCCCCCTCTCCTGTCTGATAACATTTGCATCCATAAAGTCCTTTGTTTCAGACCTTCAAGAGAAAACTCAGGGAGAAGCTTCTTAACATTTGCAAAACTCAGGGAGAGCTTGTTTGGAGGTTCTAGCAGGGGAGCGCAGCTACTTGTATACCCTTGACCGAAGACCAGTCCTCCTCTAGTGGGGAAGGTCGTCCTCTTCAACCGAGTGTGCAGCTTCGGGAGGGACGCACATGGAGCGGTGATGGAGGAAGGGGACCCCGCCTAGCCAGCCAGATCAGCCGAATCAACCCTGGCGATCAATGGGGTGACAGATGTCGCAGCCAGATAGCCCTCACATCGAGGGACGTTATGGGGGGGAAGCCATTGTAATCAATATTCTGTACTTTGGAAATTTATATTCATTAAATAAAAGTTTAAAAAAAAAAAAAAACTCAGGGAGAAGTTTCTTAACATTTGCATCCAAAAGCCCTTTGTTCCAAGAGGAACAGGTGGGGAAGCAAGACCCATCTCCTTAAAAACCCCCAGCCTCAACTGCACTGCGCTCTCAGCCCTCTGCCTCTCTGCTGAGTCACCCGCCCGCCTGGTCTGGCCAGGTGTAATCTCTGCACTCAACCATGTAACCTCGCTCCCCCCACCCCAGTCTCTCAGGCTCTGTCTGGAGAGGTGCCCATCCATCCTTATGGATGTCCCTTCCCTAATAAACCTTGCTATTTTACCTCCCACACACAAAAAAAAAAAAGTCTCACTCAGCAGAGCAAGCCAGAGGGTACGGTAACAGATCCTTATATCCATTAATCCTCCAACAGAGGATAAACAAGAGGGCTGGCAGTGCTGCTCAGGACTGAGGTGTTACAACCAAAACTTAAGCCACAACAGAATTCAAACAATACCCTTCTTAGGAAGCTTTCTCTCAGGACACATATTTGGAATCTGTTATCAATGCACAGAGACTGAAGGCACTGGAAGAAATGCATTTTCAGTTGGAGTTATGTGAAGGGGACACATGGAAGAACACAGTTTGAGGTAGGTGGCAGTGGGCGTTCGGCTCTGTGGTTAAGATGCTGCCCGGGACCCCCACAGGCCATATCAGAGAGTCTGGGTTCAAGGCACAGCTCTTTTCTTGATTCCAGCTCCCTGCTAACACACACCCTGGAGGCAGCGGGGGATGGCTCAAGTAGTCGGGTCCCTGACACCTGCGTGAGACCCAGATTGAGTCCCCAGCTCCTGGCTTGGTTCTGGCCAAGCCCTGGCTCCACACCTTGGGAGGCAGCAGGGGATGGCTCCAGTACTTGGATCCCTGGCACCTGTGTGAGAGATCGGCTTGTGTTCCCAGCTCCTGGCCTGGGTCTGGCCCAGCCCCGGCTATTGTAAGTATTTGGCAGTAAACCAGCAGAAGGGAAATATTTCTTTCTCTCTCCTTCCCTCTTTTTCTCTTTTTCTGTCTCTCTGCCCTTCAAATAAATAAAAATGGGAGGAAAAAAAGAGAGTGATAAATCAAATCTTTCCTTTAAAAAAATAAATCAGAAAGGAGTTATTTGTCATTTAGGACTGGGCACCAGGAGAATGGTTGCCTTTAGGAGCCTGTCAGCAAGAATTTCTTTAATTTTTTTTAATCGACAAAAATTACATACCTGCATATTTATCATGTGCAACATGTTTTAAATTGGGTGCCTTTTAGAATGGCCAATTGAAGCCAATTAACACATTCATTAGCTCACACACTTCTCATTTGTGTGTGTGTGTGGTGAGCCCATGTAAATCTACTCTCTTAGCATTGTTGCAGAACGCAATATGAAAGTGTGTCAACAAGTTTACAAAAAATGGAATGAAAATATCAAAACATTTAAGTGCAAAACATTAGAAACTCTTACATAGTGTTTCCATCGTATACATTCCCAGGAACTTTTTGAAGACCCCTCGCATGTTATTAGCTACAGCCATATTGTATACAAATATCTTGGACTGACTTATTCCTCCTTTCTAACTGAACATTTTGTGGCCTTCCTTTGACCAACATCTTCTGTTGAAAAAATTCCAAAGGAATTTCAGGAATACTGGAAAAATTGATCAGCGTGCTCACTGTCACGCGCTTCTCTTTTATCTCCGATAGAATTGTCAAAACCCCTCTTCCTCCCGGCATTTGGAGCCACCCTGGGGAAGGAGGCAGGGCTAAGGAGGCCCCTAGTCTCACTTGAGGTAGTACAAGCACACGTGGGCACACGGGACGCAGTGCCTCCTCATAGTTACCATTCCATGTGCCTCTCTTGCTAGCCCTGAGCACCTACCACCGGCTGGAAGGTCTGAGACTTGGGAAACCCAGAGCTTCAGGCCTCCCCCAAACGCAGGCAGTGACGAGTGAGCACGCTGCCTCCAGGGAAAAGTGCCAGTTGCGCCTCAACCTCAACCATGTGAAGTGACAGTTTACCCCTGTGACTAAAATGCACCCCAAATGCACCTGCGACTGATTAGATCTCCCAGAGTCAGCCCAAGCTGATCCGCCTACCTACTTGAGCAGCTGGGAATGTGCTGTCAAGTGCGGTCTCGTGTGACTTTCTCAAGAGGTGTACGGATGGCTGTCTTGGTCTTCACGTGGATTGTCTCTGGCCTGTATTCTCCCCTTTGATCCTCTCTCCCCAGTCCAGGGGTGTTGAGGTCCACACCCCTGCTCTGTTTGTGGATCTGGGGCTGACTCCTGCTCTCCCCAGCTGGGCTGAGACCATCCCTGGAAGAGTTCTAGCTCCTACTTGTCATGACTTCTTGGCACCTGCAAATTTACATGAATCTTTGCTTGCCATCCCCAAAGACAGCTTCTTCCTCTCCATTCCCCAAGCTGCCTAGGTTATTTACTGCTCCTCTACCTGTGTCCACTGTGTGCGGCTTACACAGCTAGCTCACATCAGACTGTGCGGTTCTGCAAGTTGGGGGACACTCTCACTCAGCTCAGGACTCCAGAACATTTTAGCTGGTGCCTGGTCCTTCAGAAAGAATTCTCAGCTGAGTGAAGCAATGAATTCATCACTATCAAAGGAATTCACAAACATTTTTTTCTGTAGCTGGACTGGCAACCATTCTTGCTCCTGTCACTAGCCAAGGAATTGCATTCGGCAGACATTGTGGTAACTGGGGCATGGCCACAGAGTGCACAAAAACAGATCCAAGGAAAAGACATTGTCATGAGTCAAACATAGGCTTTGTTTAGATAATAAAGGGTAACGCCAGAGTTAGTAATAAGGTAGACGAGACAGTTAGAAAAAGTACAAAATGAAGAAATAATTGCTACTCGGGAGCCCGTTGCTTTAGAAGGCAATGACCATGCTGATGATTTGTATTTATGTTGGATAAGATCCTTAGACTCCATTTTTCCAAACGCATTGTAAAATAGTTATGACCCAGTGTACTGTACCTCTGGGGTGGAGAGAGGAGTATCACGATGCGGCAGGAAACTTCTCAATATTTGTCTCTGCTATGCTCTGCTTAAAGTGTCCTGGGCTTTGTGATGCCCAAGATCTTTCTGATATCTAAAATGTGATGACTTTTTTGGGGGGGATAATCATCTTATATATAAGGGAAAACACACAATTATTCAGAGTACCTTTCACTTTACAAAAACTGGTCTGACTATTCTTCCGCCCATGAATGTAAGTTCAATACTCAGATGTCATTTGTTATCTGTTCAATGGTCTATTTTAAAATATTACCACTCATCAGAAATAAATCTGAAAAACTGCACCACAGTGATGTTCTCATCACGATTTGCTGAATCACATCTTGTTGGGACTGACGAGCGAGGTTACTTCTTAGCCCCGAGGACCACCGAAGCCTTTACGTAGTTAAAGTTGGTGGGAAAAGGGACAAGCCCATCATGGGGTGGAGGTAGGTAAGGGAGCTGAGGGGGAAAGTAGGCGCTTGTGTGTGAGATGCCTGCCACTGTAGTTCTTCCTCATAAACTGCCACCCCACAGAGCCAGGAGGAAGTGTGAAGACAGAGCTGAGTCGCCCATGGATCATAAACAAATGGAAACCCACTGGTTCCCTATCCTTTCTGTCTCATCATTTCCCAGTGCTCTCATTCATCAAACACGGATCCCCTACACCAGGTACAAAGAAGAGGGTGTTCAGCAGTGACTTATAAAAATCAACCATTGAAGGTATAATCCCTGTAGCTTGGCAGAGTGGTTAGGTTGCCTCTTAGGATACCCCTATCCCAAATCAGAGTGCCTGGCTTGAGTCTCAATTCCTCCCCTTCTGATCTGGCTTCCTGTTCAGGCACATCCTGGGAGGAAGCAGATGGCGATTCAAGTACTTGGGTTCTTGGCCTTCATGTCGTTAAGGGGAGAACGGCAACGAAGAAGACAACCTCGGTTCTTGTCTCATGTGAAAGAAGAATTTCCCTGCAGACAAAGCAATGGGTAAAGTAAGATTTATTTAAGTCAGAAACCTCCTGTGGCAGCAGCCAGGAGAGGGGCTATAAGAGAGGAAACCCTGAGGAACCGGCGGAAGTGGAGTCTTCTAAGCACAAGTCAGGGAACAACCAAAGGGCGGGACAAACCCGTCAGAAGGCCAGAATTATAATTCTGTTTAGCTTGCTCAGGATAAAACAAACAAAGCCATCCAAAGGGTGGGATAGATAACTTTTTTTTAGAAAACTTTTATTTAATAAATATAAGTACAACTTTTGGATTATAGTGGTTTTTCCCCTCATAACCACCCTTCCACCCGCAAACCATCTCATCTCCTACTCCCTCCCTCTCCCATCCCATTCTTCATTAAGACTCATTTTTAATTATCTTTATATACAGAAGATCAACTTAGTATATACTAAGTAAAAATTTCAAGTTTGCACCCCCACAGAAACACAACTTCTTTCTATTCTCATGCTAAAACTAGAAACTCAGAAAGGCAAGATAGGCACTTTTGTCCTGCTTAGAGTAGCTTTTGGAGAGAAGCATGCATTTTGTACTCTTAAAGAGACTTTCCCCTTTTCTCATTCCCACTAGGACCTGACCTAACTGCCTGTTCTCTATCACCTCACAACATGGACGACCCAGATTGAGTTCCAGGCTCCTGGCTTGGCCTGGCCCAACCCTCGCTGTAGAGGCATTTGGGGGAGTAAACCTGCAGATGGAAGAGCCTCTCTCCCTCTCTCTCTCCATATTTATCTTTCTGTCTTTCAAATGGAACAAAAGTAAGTAAATTTTTAAAAAATAAAAAGAATTTTATGGTCTAACTTGAGTGTTAAATTACATTGATCCACATATACAAGGAGAGTTCAAAAAGTTCATGAAACATAGAATTAAAAGATAACTTTATGTTAGTGTAAACATTTCTGAAGTCTATGCACAGTTTGTTCATAATACAAGTTTTCCATGAATATTTGGAAGACCAATTTTATGCACAGATTAAAATATTTTTTACACAAAAGCAGAGTTATCTTTAATTCTATTTTCCATGAACTTTGAGAAGCACCTTTGTGCTACCAAAGTCTGTTTTTTTAAAAATGAGATTTTGCAAGCTTTCTAAATGTGTTTACTTATGAGGAAGATAGTCTGGCTTGGCCTTTCCCTGTTGTCATGCTAAAACAGGTTCTGATAAATGCAAACCAAACTTCCTCTTTGCTGTGTTTCCCCTCTTTCAGAGCTTTGAACTCTTCCAGAATACAGGTCAGAGTGGGATGCCCTTGAAATAGCGCCACACATGGGAAACTAACCCTCTTACCTGTGGGCAACTATGCTAAGAGCTATGCATCCATGGCCTCACAGTCACTGTGCAAAGGCACTTACATGGGATGAGGTATCCTTGATGGGTGTCGTAATCCCATGTTCTTGTCTATGTCTCTCTAACCATAATCATTATCCAGGGAGTTGTGCAGTTGCTCCAGGATTTAATTTCAGAGGGAACCTGAGCTATGTATGTGTCTTAGTGGACAGATTGTCCCTGAAATCCCAGAAAATCCAATGCTAAATCATCTACTACAGGGCTGCCTTGGTGTAGGATCTGATTCAACTGATGCTATCTGGTGAGCTGCTCAGAGTGCAAATTAGGGTGCACAGAGGTGGCAGACGTAGGAAGCAGACAATTTGCTGAGTGACAGCTATAAAATGAAACAAGGAAGAGGTGTCACTAATTTGGTTCAAGCTACCTCTGCCATGTGAAGAGGGCCTTGTTTTGGCAGTGACAAGCTATTAGGGTCCAAGGAAAGAAGTGCTAACCTTGGATGCATCAAGTTGTCCAGAATTCTCTCTGAACAACAAAAGCTTACTGCCCCCACCAGCACTGACCGGGGGTGGAAAGGAAGCAGAATTGGATGAGTTCCCAGAGAAAAATGGAATTGATTTTGTACACAGCTACAAAGGCTATCACCAGCAAATGCCCTCCTTTAAGAAATGCACACCACACTCCTGCGTCCCCTTGAGTCACTTGGGCTGACTCTCAAGGCATGGTAAATGTGCTTTCTTTACCCTTACTACAATGTGTTTTCCCCTTTGTTTCTCTTCCAGACCATGATATGAGGAATTAGAAGGAAATGGGACACCACTTTTCCTAAAACACCATCCTAATGCTGTCTTTTGAAAAAGCAAGAGTGTGTCAACTGCATGAGAACAAGAAATACCAAACTGGTGCTACTTTCTTTTTCACTTGGTTTAGTTTGTGAATGGGTACCAGGGTACTTCAGAAAGTTCATGGAGATAGAATGATAAGGTATGTTTATTTTGACCCCCCCCCCCAAATTTCCGAAATCCATGCAGAGTCTTTGCATAATGCCCATTTCCCAGGAACTTTCTGGAGCTTCTTTATATGACAATAGTGAGGAACCTCACGGGAGTTTGCAGAGCCACTGTCTGGGGCGGAAGGGTATTTGCTGCACCCTTTCACATATTCTCTCCTGGCAGAGGGAGACCATCTGTCTACAGCTGTGGGAAAGAACAAAGTTGGGTGGAACAGACGCAATGACACCCACACCTTCTTGCTGGTGCTGCTGCTCTCATCAGTTACTTGTTTTCAGCTCTTAGCTTTCAAAACACAGCATGGGCTTTGCAAAAAACTTTCTTCCACACCCACTTCCTACTCTCTTCCCTCCCCCAGTGAATCATTTTCCCCAGACTGTTTCTAGACTTTGTGCATAGAGCAACATAGTGAAACCGTCCATTTGCATTCTGTTTGTCTCCTCCTAGTATGTGAAGCCCCAGAGAGAATAGATGCTATTTTATCAATAGCCCTATGCCTAATAGTCAATGGCAAAGTAGGAACCAAAGGAATGTATGTGACACTGAGCTGGCTGCACACAGGCAGCTCCAGAAACACACGGTCTTTTTCGTGCGGATCCATCTCAGCAATGATTTGTTTATTTCTGACTCAGTAAGGTTCCCTCAAAGCCATTTCCAATGTATTGTGAAATATCCTTCTCATGAGCCACTTCCCCTTCTAGCCCCTCCACACATATGTACACACAGGCCAGGGTTCTAGACAGTGACGGGAAATGAAAATACCATATTGCATTAATTCTAAAACGCAAAAAATTTTTTACCATTTGAATTGACATTGGGTGCTATTTCACAATCAGTGGCATCTTAGCATTATGATTGGCAGTGTTTTTTTTTCTTTCTGAATAGTACTCAGAATAATGTGTCTTAAAATGGGTGTCTTAAATGTGTTAAAAATGCAATACTACTAAAAGAAGTCCTACTGATGGCCAGCCTAGCCATGTCAAGTTCCATGGTAGGGGTAGCTACTGTGGTGTAGTAGGTATTGGTGCAGTGCAGGCATCCCATATGGGTGCCAGTTCAAGTGCTGGCTGCTCCATTTCTTTTTTGTTGTTGTTGTTATATAGTTTTTTTTATTTAATAAATGTGAATTTACAAAGTGCAATTTGTGTATTGTTGTGGCTTCCCCTGCCCCAAACCTCCCTCCCTCCCGTGGCCCTCCCCTCTCCCACTCCTTCTCCCATCTCGCCCTTCATTGAGTTTCATTTTCAATTACCTTCGTATACTGAAGATCAACTTAGTATATACTAAGGATTTCAACAGGCTGCACTCACACAACCTCACAAGGTATAGGGTATTGTTCGACTAGTAGTGTTGTTTTTAAGTTTCATAATAAAACACATTAAGGACAGAGATCCTACGTGGGGAGCATGTACCCAGTGACTCCCGTTGTTGATTAATAATTGACAATCTTATTTATGACATCAGCAATCACCCGAGACTCTTGCTATGAGCTGTCTAGGCTATGGAAGCCCCTTGAGTTCACCAACTCTGAACTTGTTTAGGCTGTATCACAGTGGAGGTTCCTTCCTCCCTTCAGAGAAAGGCGCCTCTCTAGGAGGCCTGTTCCTTCTGCTGGGGTCTTATTCACCAGGATCTTTCATTTAGATTGTTTTTTTGCCACCGTATCATGGCTTTCCATGCCTGTGAGACTCTCATGGACCTTTTAGCCAGATCCGAATGTCCCAAGGGTTGATTCTGAGGCAGGAGTGCTGCCATTCTATGAGTCTGCTGTGTGTCCTGTCTCCCCTGCAGGATCATTCTCTCCCTTTTAATTCTATCCTTCATTATTTGCTTACACTGGTCTTATTTGTGAAATCTCATCGACACATACCCTATCTTTTTGATCAGTTGAATCCAGCTCTCTGCTATGGCCTGGGAAAGCAGTAGAAGATGGCCCAAGTCCTTGGGCCCCTGCACCCACGTGAGAAACCCAGAAGAAGCTCCTGGCTCCTGGTTTTGGATTGCCCAAGCTCCAGCCATTGCGGCCAATTGGGAACTGAACTAGCAGATGGAAGACATCTCTCTCTCTCTGCCTCTGCATCTCTGTAACTCTGCCTTTCAAATAAATAAATCTTTTTAAAAAAAATGCTCCATGGTAAATTCTGCATATGCTCCATGGTGCTACATTAAAATACATCAAAACAGAAACACAGTTTGTAGAATACAGTTAGAGAGTTGAACTTGAAGGATCAGAAGGCAAAGTTCATAGGAGATTCACTGTTACGACTCTGGCATCTGATCTGTTATGTAGCTGGCACATCTATTCCTCCCTTAATAAAAAAAAATAGTTGGTAAGAGTTTTTGAGTCCTTACTAGGAGTTAGTCAGTGTTTTTTTTTTTTTTGAATCCCCTTTCCATTTCCTTGAAAGGCAGAAAGAGAAAGAGAGAGAGAGAGAGAGAGAGAGAGAGAGAGAATATGGATCTTCCATCCACTGCTTCACTTCCTAAATGTTAGCAACAGCCAGGGCTAGGCCGGGTTGAAGTCAGTAGTCTGGAACTCCTTCTAGTTTCTATGGGCCACAGGGGCCCAAGCACTTGAGCCATCATCAGCTGTCTCCCAGGACATATTAGCAGGAAGCTGGAAAGGAAGTGGAGCAGCTAGAACTTGAACCAGACACTCTGCATGG